ACCGTAGATATAAATATCTAATGTGCCAAAAAATTCAATCCTGTCACAATTGAATGAAAGCATCATGCTTTTCAATGTAAGATATACAATATAAATAAAACATGACTATACCATCTTAAGACATAACAAAAAAAAAGTTTGCATAAAAATTAAGTTCGATCAAGTATAAAGTTGATAAAAAAATTTATATTAGTCCGTATTTCGTATGTAGGGGAGTTTTCTTGTGAGGACCCATAAAATTGTGATAATTCTGAGAACCGGTATTTCACATGATATTTTTCATCTATACTTTGTATTTAGTTTATTGATTAAAATATATCTGGTTCCCAATGTGAATATTTTTTTTATATGTTTGTGAAACAAAAAGTTCGACTAAAACGTTTCATATTGTTAACCGAATATATATATATATATATATATATATATCACAAATATATGTTAATCAAATATTAAATTATAGTTTTAGATGGAAAAAAAATCATGTTAAATAATATCTTATAATAATAGTTCTCATAATATATAGGATTTTTAAATGATCAAAGACTAAATATGTATAGGGTCAGGTTAGGAGGAAAACTATAAAAATATAAAAAACTGAGAAACACTCTGGTAACCGTTCATCTAGACGGTACGTGCATACAAATAATTTTAAATAATTTGTCTGGTATGCACATGTGCATAAAATAAACACGTCCATAAAAATCAAGAAACCGTTTCATTTAACCGGTATACACATGTGCATATCGTTCAAATGAATGGTTACCAGGGTGTTTCTCAGTTTTTCTTTTTTGAGGTTTTCCCCTAAACCCATCTCTCTATATACATACATATACATAATACATACATACATACATACATATTATATATATATACATACATACATATATAGGTATAGTTTCAAACGAGAACCCCTGTGATTTACGAGAATGTGAGAACAACTAACTAACCTCAAACTTTTTAATCAATATTGATTATATTATATTAAATACAAATAAGCAATAAGAACAGTAATGTAATTATGTATTTTTTTATAATTTATTATTTTATTTTAATTAATTATAATTATCTCATCCATTTTGCTTGGGATTGATCACATTCAACTGAATGTGTTTCACTTTCTTCTATCCTTTTCTTCCCATTGTATCTGCAGGTTCACAATATCCAAAAAATTTCGACGTAGAATGGCGGATTCGAATGTTGTAGGTAAGGAAGCGTGTACAAGATCGAGTTATTTGAACGACGATTTCGGGGGCTTTTCTAAATATTGTTTTTTTAAGACAATTTATTTGAAGACAGTTCTGATAATGATGATGAAAGTACAATAATAATGTGGTAATAATAAAATTATATAGTTTTTCTCTGAATGGATTGTGGTCATCCCTATAAAGATATGAGCTTTTTATCACATGTGATAAAATGTAATGGAATTGTGGCTGCTAAATTTTTTATTAGATTATAGTTACTGATACATGTTGATTTGAGTTTAATGTAGTAGTAATGTGGATTAGTAATATATAGCTTGAGAATCTTGATGTTGTCAAACCCAGTAGTTTAGTAATTTCAAATTTTGATGTTTATCACATGTGATAAACATCTCAATTTGAAATTATCTGAAGAGAGTTTTGATGATGATGCTGATGAAGGTTCAATAATAGTGTGATAACAATAATATTCTATAGTTTTTTTCTAAATCGGTTGCGATCGTCATGACAATAATGATGTGAGATTTTTATTACATGTGATAATCGCTAAACGGATATACAAATTTTAGTTCCACCGCACTCTGATTGATTCGATTAGGTGTGATTATCACACGATTATCACATCCTAATGTAGTCGAACCCAAATCTGATTCGTATTTGTGTGAAAATCAGTTCCTAGTTGATTCATTGTTGCATTATCACATGATTATCACACCCAAATCAAATTGATCATAGTGCATACACTATCCCTAGTCGAATCAATTGATATTAGTAATGAACCATGTCTCATCTTCTCCTTAAATCTTGTTCGATGTCGTCTTCCAAGATTATCACACATTCTTCCTTAATTGTCTACTAGATAACCGATAACCAACCCATGATATTATCAGTTGCCATATGATCAGAGTTTATGATCTTGTTTTTTTAAATTCCATCGCTTTGAATTCCAAGATTACCCTTCTCTGCTCAATTTTTTTTGCATTATTTTAAATTTAATTTTTTTTATTTTTCATTGTTATCATAATATTAGATTAATAAGTTGTTCTCGCGTTCTCGTAAATCATAAGAGTTCTCGTTTGAACCTTTATCTCTTTGTCTCTCTCTCTCTCTATATATATATATATAATTGTAGTTTACGATTTCGAATTCGTGTCTAATTTTCAAAACAAGTCGATCATAAACAACTATTAATTTCTGTGTTTAAAGAGGGTATAATAAAAAGAAATCAGAAAATGCCAATAATTAACAAGACATAAAGCAATGAGTATTTTGTAAGCCAACTTTTTAATGTGTGGATAAATATATCAATTAATTATATACCTGTGAAAACAATAATTAAATGATTTAAAAACTTTATCATGAAATTGAATGTATGCATCAAAGGAATCAGGATTTTCCTTCCGACTAATTTTAAAATGATCATCTGTTTTACAGATAGCTCGAATTCATTGCATTTAAACCTTCGTGACCACAAGGGGATTTATATATTACTATAAAAATTATTAAGAATACATGTACCAAAAAAATATATAAAAAAATTATAACAAGACTTCATGTAAAAATAATAATAATAATTAAAAATATACAATTATAACTCTTATTTATCAAATTGTATGCTCTTATGCAAATATTGGGTTTTTGGATTAGCTTACGCTTATCAAATAATTCCTCGAACGATCGTAAATGGTCTGGAGTCATCACAGATGAACATCTATGGATACAAGAGTTTTGACAGCGTCTACGGTCGAATCCGAGGAAAATGAGATTTTCCACTACATCCTCTGAAACCATCTCAAACTCGGTATCTGATTGATTCTTGTCGGATCTTAAAAAAAGTGGTAAGTTGACAACTTGAAAACATTACTATATACATAATTACGTTAATCGTTTGGTAAATGAATCAACGAATGGCTTATTCAATCTTTATCAACAAATATATTTGATTACAAGCACGATTTCATTGAAAGAGATGGTTTCCATATATGAAACTAGTGAACTTTTTATTGATAACAATATCATTAAATAAAAAATGGTAAATTGGTATATTTGTTTAATCAAAATAAATATTATATATGTTGTTAATTATATGCTAATCATCTTACTTGAATACGTATCATGCAATATATAATTTCATATAATGTTCGACTTATTTTACAATGTGTAAGAATAAGAGTTAAGGTGATAAGCGTATGAAAAGATCTGAACAATTGATCACTTTTAAACTTATCCCCCTCTCATGAATTGCGTTTATCACAAGAATTGATCTGGTGCACCTCGACGCACCACATTAGTGTTGATTTTCAATTATGATTGATCAAATAATGAAGATCTCTTATTATCCTTCTCACTATAAATTTTATTATCACCGGTACCAACACCTAATTGTATTGATATCAAAATCAAATACAACTACATATGAGTATAACTGGTCGTCGGACGTGTATCTCAGTCGGCAAAAGAGTGGAGAGACTTTGTTCAAATACACAACAAGTTGAAGTTCAAATGCTACAGGAAGATGGCATTAAACGTCTTCATTAGACTCAATCGTTAAGTCAGCTTTGAAATACAGCCACACATATAGTTTTTAGTAAAAAATTCTATATCAGAGCAATCGAAATTAATTGTAATCAACCTTTTATTTAGATATGGTGGTACAAGAGCACATGGGAAATTTGAATTTCGTAAAGGTGGGTATCGAGCAAATAAAATCGGATAACTTTTCTTTTTCAGATCTTAAATTCTTGAATTTAAAGAAATCTTTAATGTGTGGTGTATCATGTATAAAAACTTATAATTAAATGCCTTTTAAATATCAGGTTTTTATTAGTAAAAAATATAGTTCTTAATAAATAATATGAGAAAGAGTTTTTATAATTCTTGAAGTTTTTAGAGTATTTTTAATGGAGGTTTTATACGAACATACTTTTTATAAAAAAAAAAAAAAAAAAAAACTCATCAAATTAAGAATCTGAATATTAATAGTCTTATAAAAATACCTTTTCTAGGTCCCATGTATTTTTCAACATCAATAAAATCAATACATTAGATAAAAAAACTAACAAAAATTCACTTCACACCAAGTTCAAGATAAGAATCAAAGTTCTTGTACAAAATTACAAATAGTTTGAGGTTCTTAGGAACTCTCTCTTCAATGGCAGTTCTTTGCACTTCATTTAAGAATCTATACTTTTTACTTATAAGAACATTTTGTTATAGATGTTTCACCTGTAAATTGACATTTTATTAGTTTTTATATATTTTTTTACTTATTTTTGATATTTAATAATTTTTTATATATAATTATTGATATTAAAAATACATTAAACCCATAAAAAAGGTTGTTATAAAAAACTAAATGAAATTTATATGAAAAAAATATTTAAAAAATAGGTTTTCAATAGTAACCTTGATGTTCTAAAGGGTTGTTTGTTTACCTTTTAATATTTTTATTAAGTGGCAACCTCTGAATCTTTAAGAGGTTAATATTGTTTGGCAAAAAAAAAAGTCTGTCTTCTAATAATTCTAAAACCCTTTTAATAATTTTGTATCTTGGATCTCCTTTAATCATTACGAGCCCTAATTTCACTGTACACAATTAGCAAACAATTATATTTGATTTTGTACTATATTATAAAAGTCTCTTAATTATTCTGACACTTGATTATTTTACATCAAATTATTCAACAATTATCAAATAACCATGAATATTGGATTTTGAATTGGGAAAGCTAAACCTAAATTTAAAATGGAAACCCAGAAAGTAAAACCATCGTTGACGTCAATTTTAGCAGCAGCCGCGAACGGAGGAAAAAGATAAACAAAGAAAGAAAAATGGATTTATTCTCTCTCTATCTCTAAAAGCTTCTGAGCTGTTCTCTTTTAGCACTGAACAGAAACAACTCACTACTCACAAGCATCTCTTGATTTCTTTAATGGGTCTATCTGTAAAATAGACGAACGAGGATAACGAACACTCTTCTTGCTATTCCTAGTTCATATCATCTGTAATCACTACATTTTGGATACTGATTTAATCGCAGTTTTATAGCCAAATACATCAACAACAAACCAAAAAAGCCCCCCCTTTTTGTCTTTACCCTTTTTCAAGAAATCTTGATTACAATATTCAATGCCTTTTCCGTTATTGGGTTTGCCGTGATGATTTAATCCCAGTTTAGCCAAATACCTCAAGAAAGAAAAAAAAAAAAGCAAAAAGGATCCCCTTTTGTATATTGATTTTTATTAGGTATGTAATCTGTGGAAATCCGATTGAGGAAGCTGTGTTTTTAGGTATCCGTTGGTGGGAATGTAAATGGGTTCTCTTGAAAATGGAGTGTTGCCATTAAAGAGGGATTCTTTACTCAAATCTTCATCTAGAAATGAGAGGAACAATTCATTTGTGCAAAGACCCAGATCAAGGTTTACAAGATTTATGGTTTTGAAGAAGCTAGATTACTTGCAATGGATTTGTGCTGTGGCTGTATTCATCTTCTTTATGTTAGTGTTTCAAATGTTCTTGCCTCTTTCCACTGTGGAAAAAGATGGTGGGGATTTCTTGAAACAAAAGGAGGATAATTTTGGTGGGGAGTTGAAGAATTTCCTGAAAGAAATTGGTGGATTGGATTTTGGTGAAGGTGTCAAGTTTGAGCCTACCAAGCTTTTGCTCAAATTCCAAAGAGACAATAGAGATGTTTATAATGTGGCTTTTGGAGGGTCAAGAAGAGTAGTGAGATTTGGGCACAGAAAACCCCAGCTTGCTTTTGTGAGTATCTTTATAGTAATTTCTGAAGATTGTTACTCATTTTTTGATTCATTTGAGTGCTTTACTAAGTAACAATCTTCTTCTTAATGGTATTTGGATTTGGGTTCATTTTAGTTTTAACTTTTATCAGTTCCCTTTCTAGGTTTTTGCAGATCTGTTGGTTGATCCACAACAATTATTGATGGTCACTGTTGCAGCTGCTTTGAAAGCAATTGGATATGAAATTGAGGTAATTTTGTTGTCAGGAGAATTTGGGCTATTTTACTGCTATGATTTATGATTAGAAAGTTTTTATGGCATAGAATTAAGAGTAGTTAGAATTAATATAACTGGTAACTGTTTTAACTATCGTATTCAAAACTTAAGGCTTTGATTCTTATGAGATTTGGGTGCTTTGTTGGCGCGAAATGAGATTTGCTTATCGTAATTGATATTTGATGTCCTTAAGAGATTTTGTTAGTGATCATCGAGTTTTGTGCAGGTTTACTCACTTGAAGATGGCCCCGTGCATTCCGTTTGGGAAAATGTTGGAGTTCCGGTCAATATTGTGGAAGCTGGTGGTGATCCGAAGATTGTGGTCGACTGGCTGAAGTATGTTTATTTAACACAATAGGTTTTCTTTAGTCCATTTTTCTGAAATTTGGTCTCGGTTTTCTTGAATCTATTTCTTGAAGAATATGTGATGGTATCTATGTTCAACTTAGGGGCTGTTTGGTTGGTTTTCCGTTAAAACCTGTATGGATACAATTGTTTGTGTAGATTAATCTGTCTTTATAGATTGGGAAGGGTTTTTCATAGATGTAAGGAGCGTGTTTTGTTAATTGTTTTGGGGGGGGGGGGGGGGGTAGGTTTGGTAACTACTTGGCTTTCCTGCATAAAGCTCCCCCTTGGAAGTTTCCTGAATAAGCTACTTTCTATACCATTAAGCCACTACCAAACAGTCATGTATAGCTGCCCGAATAAGCTGCGAGTCCCATTAAGCTCATTAGCCATTAAGAGCATTCGCAATGGTCAAGTCTTTAAAAGACTTGATCTATTTGCCACATCAGGTTTCCACTAAACAAAATCCATCTTCAAATACTTACTCCAGTGGTCAAGTGTTTTAAATGTTTTTTTTTTTTGTATTCTTAATTCATTTTTAATACATGTACATACATCTTCAAACACTTGACATCCCCCAAGCTTTTGGATGTCAAGTCATTCTTCAAGTTATTTCTCCAATGGTTAACCTTTTCATCAAGTGGTTCTCAACCTTTTCATCAAGTCTTTGTTTTCACCATTGGAGATGTTCCAACAAACAGGCTCTTTAAGGTGTTCGACGGGCTATTGATCTATTCATTTACTGTTTTGCATGATCTTTGCAGCTATGATGCCATACTAGTGACATCTCTTGAAGCAAAAGACGTCGTTTCAGGGTAAGTTTACCAAGTTTTATCATATCATGTTTTCATGATCAAGCGATTCACACTTCAAACTTGAAACACGGTCTTTTATAAGGAAAAAACATACAATAAAAGGATAACCAAAACAGCTCGACATTTATATTCTCCCAATAATTTGAGGCAATGTGGTCATAAGTTACATAAACTTAATAAATTTAGTTGTTACAGCCTTTTGCAGGAACCTTTTAAATCTATACCTGTTATATGGATTGTCCATGAAAAAACACTTGCTACCCGCTTCAAAAACTACGTCTCAAATGGTCAAGTTGAGCTGATTGATGATTGGAAAGCGGTCTTTAATCGAGCTACAGTTGTTGTCTTCCCTAATCACGTGCTTCCGGTATATTATAGTGACTCTTTTGTCCTTTCAATAACTTTTTGTTAAAATGTTCTCCAAGAACTTACTTTTTTCCAATTTGATTTATATTTTCAGATGTTTTATGCTGCATTTGATGCTGGAAACTACTTTGTTATACCTGGATCTCCTTCTGGGGCTTGCAAATTAGATAACTCAACAAATGTTCTTCAAGAAAGTCTGCGTGTGAATATGAACATTGGGGATCGTGATTTTGTTATTGCTATAACGGGCAGTCAGTTTCTGTATAAAGGATTATGGCTGGAGCATGCACTCGTTTTACAGGCTTTATCACCACTTTTAGCAGAGTTTCCTGTTGATGATAGTTTGAGTCCTCGTCTCAGGATCATAATCTTGAGTCAAGACTTAACGGGTAATTACAGTGAAGCTATCAAGGTAGAATCTTTTTCTTGAAAATTAGATATTATCTATTTGGTACTCATTTAAACCCATAAAAGCCATAAACTTTGACCCGCGTTTGCTCACATCTAAAAGTGTATGCTTGTATGTTAAATGCTCAAAGTACCCTTCACTAATCAAAATAAGAGAACCTTTTGGACCCGATTGGTGATGGGGAGTATGAAATTTTAACTTGCAAAGTTGCAAAATGAAGCGAAAGCTTGGAACTTTTAGCATGCGTTTGGTATGCAGATGGGACTAGACGTCACGAAACTGAACAGGACAAGACTTGACGGGTGAGAGTGAGGTAGGCGCGTGAAAGAATTGTGGAAGGTTTTAGGTTTTTATTTTGACATAGGTAGTTTAGTAATTTACCAATCTTGTCCCATCTTCCTGAATTTTGTTCCACCTATTTTGGTGGGACAAAAAAAAGTGCATTTTTGTCCCACTCAGTAGTGCCCTGTCCCAGTCTAATGTCATGCTAAACGTGAGACAGCAAGTTCTTGTTCTGTCATGTCTCATCTTGTTTCGCGTACCAAACGCAGACATCCAAGAACAGAAATGGTTGTAGTTTTGATTGGATGAAAGGAGCATCTCTATTTTGCGTTTTTCTGCTTCATGCTAACTTGATGTCAACATTTTTATAGGGAATTGCTTCAAACTTGAACTACCCAAGTGGTACTGTAAATCATGCTGCCATTGATGAAGATGTATACAATGTTCTGAGCATCGCAGATGTAGTGATATACGGGTCATTTCTAGAAGAACAATCTTTTCCCGACATTCTAATAAAAGCAATGTGCTTTGAGAAACCAATAGTAGCTCCTGACCTATCCATAATCAAGAAATACGTATGTTTCTAGAAACTTCAGCCTTTTAACATCTCGACCATATATTGCATTCTAGAAACAAGATATGAACTGAAGCTTGATATCATATTTCAGGTTGATGACAAGATCAATGGCTATCTCTTTCCAAAGGAGAATATAAAGGCCTTAACGCAGATCATGCTGCAACTCGTGTCAAAAGGAAGACTATCATCTCTAGCTTACAACATTGCGTCATTTGGAAAACATACCGCAAAAAACATGATGGTTTTGGAATCCGTTGAAGGGTATGCGTCTTTGATAGAAAATGTTCTCAACCTTCCATCGGAAGTTGCATCTCCAAGGGCAGTATCGGAAATTCCTTCTAACATCAAAACTGAGTGGCAGTGGCATCTTTTTGAAGCTATTGCAGATCGTAAATATGTAAATAGAACTTTGAGGATATACCATTTCTTAAACAAGGTTGAAAAGCGGTGGAACCGTACTCTAAAAGAGAGTTCTGCCGATGTTGTGGCCGATGATACATTTTTGTACAGCATATGGGAAGAAGAGAGAAGCATTCAGATAGCAACAGCTAAAAAGAGAAGAGAAGATGGTGAGGTAATGTAGAAATTTATCTTCCCTTATTCTTCTATATTCGACTTCACGCATAGTTTGAGTAAAATGTTGACGGTTCTTTTGTGAAAAATGTAATATACCTTTCTATAAAGACGGTAAAGGAATCCTGCGGACCTAAATCAAAACACCACTGATATAAATGTAATGACGGTAGGGTGAGGGCATGTTCTGTTAGGAATCTAAAATTGATTAGGAATCTGGGAACTGGCCACAACACGTGGCATACTCATCAGGAATGTTGACGTGTTATTCATCATGAATGTTGTAACAGATTCATCATACACATTCGTAATGAATCACACTTCCATATTCATCATGAATGTGTTATTCATGATGAATATTCATCATGAAGGACACACGACGCGCTGTGGTGGAATTACCTCTCTTTCCTTTTATGGGAAAAATCCAAATAACTTGCAAGATCCTATTTGTTGGAAATTTTAAGGATCATAATGTTTATACCTTCTGATCTTTGATGTAAATATGATGTAGTTAAGGGATAGAAGTGAGCAACCGAGGGGAACGTGGGAGGATGTATATCGAAGTGCAAAGAAAGCCGATCGGTATAAGAACGATTTGCATGAGAGGGATGATGGGGAGCTTGAAAGGACGGGTCAACCATTATGCATCTACGAACCTTACTTTGGGCAAGGAGCTTGGCCTTTTTTGCATCGTGGTCCACTATATCGCGGTCTTGGGCTGGTGAGTCACTTTATTTTACATGAAGATTTGAACTTTTCTCTTCTGGAAGATGCTCCCTTCGTCCCACGGTAAATGTCCATGATGAAAAGACAGTTTTAGGAATGTGTAATTATTACATTTTTCAGTTAATAAATAGCAAATTTACCCATTACAATAGAGGGAGTAATGATTATCTCTATCTCGTAATTAAGGGTAGATTTGGAAAGTAGACGTTTACTATTTAAAGCAGGCATTTATTTTGTGACGAACTAAAATAGAAATGTGGACGCTTATTTTGGGGTGGTGGGAGTACAAGAAACTACGGTGGAGATAGTGATACTTTTGACATCCACCTATTGATATAGAAGTTGTGAGATTTGAATTCAGGATCTCTCGGTTATCCGGAGGAAGTCTTGATCACTTGAGTAAACCCGATTGGGTTGTGTCGATTTCTTGTTGAGTGCCCTTTGTTTAACACCATACTTGGTGTTTATTGATGATACTGTAGTCAACGAAAGGTCGAAGATCAAGAACCGATGATATTGATGCACCTTCTCGTCTTCCTCTTCTAAGCATACCTTATTACCGTGATGCCCTTGGTGATTTTGGAGCCTTTTTTGCAATCGCCAACCGTATTGACCGTGTACACAAGAATGCTTGGATTGGGTTTTCATCATGGAGATCGACGGCTAAGAAGGCATGTGAATTTCTTTCGAGTCTTATTTAAAGTATACAATGTTTATAGATTGCAAAACTCGCACACACTCGTCACCTTTGATGAGGCTTGAACCCTTTACCTCCAAGGAGTTTGGGATCTACCAAAAACTTCGAGTGGCAACTTTGAGTCCTCGTATCCTTGAAAATTGCAACCGTTTCTGTAATGATGGAATCGATTTGGGTCAACAAGATTTCTTTATTCAGAATTTACTAAGGGTATTTTGGTCAAATCTTTCTTGAACCATCAATCAAGCCAAATGTAGCAATTTTCATGACACCGAGAGTATTACGCTACAAAGATGCATTTTTTGTCTTCATACCTAAAAGTAAAGATTTTGAATATAAAAAAAACAGGCTTCTTTGTCAAAGGCCGCCGAGGTTGCTTTATTAGACAACATTCAAGCACGCAGGCATGGTGATGCTCTCTATTTTTGGGTTCGAATGGACAAAGATCCAAGAAACCCGATGCAACAAGATATTTGGACGTTTTGTGATGCTATAAATGCGGGTAATTGCAAGTAAGGCTCTCCACCTCTCGTTATATATTCATTCATGTATTCTTGACTTTTTGCGAAGTTACTCCCTTAGGAACGCTATTTTAATCTCGACTGTTTGCCAAATATCAAAATAGGAAGACCTGAAAGTTTGTTCACTAATTGAGAAACAGATTCATCGTTACACCGAACAGGAATCGAGGCAAACATCGTTTGCATTTTGCCAGAATGCTTGTGTATCCAAATTGTCCTTTTGCTAGCTAGTACACATTCCAGTTAGCAATGTGTAACTATCGCACATTCCGATTAGCAAAATGACGATTTTACCACTGTGCCTTTTTCATTGTACGTATTTTGGGACGAAGAGAGTAATATTTCATCGGATGAATGAAGTGTTTAATAGTTTGTGTTTCGTGGTTGATCTGATCTTATATTTGATTTGTACAAGGTTTGCATTCTCGGACGCTCTCAAGAAAATGTATGGAGTAAAGGATAATTCGACGTCACTCCCACCAATGCCGGTGGATGGAGGTTCATGGTCCCTAATGCATAGCTGGTGTATGCCAACCAAATCTTTCGTAGAATTTGTGATGTTTTCAAGGTTTGGTTCGTCTTTTTAGTGTTCTTCTAGGAAGAAATAGAAGTTAAACATTCGAAAATGATTCCCTTTTTCAATGAAGTGTGGTATTAACGTTGTCATGAACATCTGCAGGATGTTTGTGGACGCGTTGGATTCACAAGTTTACGACGAGCATCATCAAAGTGGTCTCTGCTACCTAAGTTTATCGAAGGTTAGATCCAAACATGACTATGACTAGTCTATCAGCCAACAGCTAACATATCATATAGTTTGCCAAACATAGCCTTAGTAGTCTCGGATTCATTTCGTTTTAACTCATGTTTTGCAGGACAAGCATTGCTACTCACGGGTTCTCGAGCTTCTCGTAAACGTATGGGCGTACCATAGCGCAAGGCGAATGGTGTACATTGACCCAACCACCGGAACAATTCAAGAACAACACGACTTCAAGAGCCGAAGAGGCAAGATGTGGATTAAATGGTTCAATTACAACACTCTCAAGGCCATGGACGAAGATCTTGCCGAAGAGGCCGACTCGGACCACCGTAAAGAACGGTGGTTATGGCCGTCAACGGGCGAGGTGTTCTGGCAAGGAATGTACGAGAAAGAAAGAAGTCAAATGAGACGACAAAAGGAGAAACGAAAGCAGAAAAGCAAAGACAAGATCCAGAGGATCAAAAACCGGACTCACCAAAAAGCGTTAGGGAAGTACGTGAAACCGTCGCCGGAAAATGAGACGGAAATTAACTCCGACTCGATTGTAGCAGCAACAAAACTTCTTAGATAGCAGATTTTTTTTGGGTTGAAGTTGTAGTTTTGATCAGTTCAATTCTTTGTGAAAATTTACAATATTTGTTTTTGTTTTTGTTTTTTGTTTTTGTTTTTTGTTTATAATTATGATGAGGTTTTGATGTTATGTAAAAGGGCTTCTCCAAGAACCCTTCTGTATGTAAAAACTGCAGATGATGATGTATTGCCATTAATGTATACTAAATGCTTTGTAATTATTGTTTCCACTTTCAGATTGAGAGGCAACTTCTGAATTGTTAAGAGATAGAATCTTGTTTGGCAAAAAAGAAGTCTGCCTTTTAATGGTTCTAAAACCCTCTAAATGATTTTGTATCTTGGATCTCCCTTAATCATTAAGAGCCTTAATTTCATTGTACACAATTACTAAACAATTATATTTCATTTTGCATTATATCATAAGAGCCTCTTAATCATTCTGACCACTTAATCATTCTACACCAAATCATTCAACAATTGCCAAACAACCCCTCAATCTCTTGTAGATTTTAGATATTAGATGCAAGGATATTTGGATATGCAGACAAGATTGGCCAAGTAATTTAGTAATTTACCAATTTGTCCCATCTTCATGAATTTTTGTTCCATCTATTTTTGGAATGACTAAAAAGCAATATATTTTTGTGTACCCATTCATGTCGCTACCAAACGTAGGACAAGAAGTTCTAATAGTCTCTGTAACAAACGCACACCCTAAAGAAATTGCATGAAGACAAAACTGCATTTTGCTTTTAAAGTACAGTAACAATTTCGATCTTTCATCTTTACGTATCATAACACAAAACCCATTACATAAAAAGATAAAACGATAACACATTCTTGAAGAACAGTAGGCGCTCAGGATGGCAGTAGTGAGCGATTTCTACAAGATCTGTTCTTCGGGTAACATAAAACTCTATCATCGATAACATGCAAGAACGCCCAAATGTCATATTCTTGGAGCTGCAATGGAAAGAAACAAGCGTTATGAGAACGATAAATAAGGGTTTGAGTGTTGAGAAATTTAAAGGATGATTAGCCTACCTCCACCCATAGTTGCTTCAGGCAATCTTTCAATGGAATACTTGTGTTGGGTGATATACATAATCGGCACACCAGGTATCTGATTACACCATCCAAAATATGTTGCTTTCGATCATACAAGACAAAAAAAAACCCGTAATCATGCTATACGATACAACATACCTTGCGAATCCTACGTTTCAAATCTCTATCACATGTTGCTACCATATAGCATTTGTGCTGTTTCAATGGAAGAGGTTATGAGATTCAGTAGAATATACATGATGATGAGTGTAATTATTATGTTTTCTAATTTACTAAATGACAATTTTACCCTTAATAATAGAGGGAGTAATGAATTTGTTCGTCTCATAATTAAGGGCATAATTGGAAAGTAAGCACTTGTTTCTGAAAGTGGACACTTATTTTGGGACAAACTAAAAAAGAAATTTGGACATTTATTTTGGGACAAACTAAAAAAGAAATTTGGACACTTATTTTGGGATGAAGAGAGTAAATGAAACGATTGTAAAAGCCCAGGCATACAAGGTTGCCTTTGTATGTATATACAAGTCTAAAACCAATCTATAGTACCAAAAAGTTGAGTTCAAGTTGACAACAAAGAAACAAATATTATATAGGTGCCGTTTGGTTTGTAGGGTTGGAATGGATTTAGAGGGATTTGGAATTGAATTCCAATCCACTCCCATGTTTGGTTTGAAGGATTTGGAGGGATTTGGAATTGAATTAAATCCACTCCCATGTTTGGTTTGAAGGATTTTATGGATATGAAATCCGAGATTTCATTAAAATCCCACAAACATAGGATTTTAAATCCCATGGGATGGTTGGTATTTCATGGGATTTCAAATGATTTGTATATAATAATGTTTTAAAATATGTCTAAAACATTTGTTCTGTAATAATCAATTAATAAAAAGGTAATTAATAATTTTTATAATTATTTATAATTTGTTTTTATAAATAACGGAATTCAATTCCATTCCAATTCATACAAACCAAACACTCCAAAGATTCCAAATCCTTCCACAAAATCCAAATCCCTCGAAGACATTCCATCAAACCAAACTACATTACCTGAGTAACTCTTTCAACAATGCAGTCATCAGCATAAGTTCCTTTGTGAGTGCATGGAAGCCTTTCAAATCTAGGATCCTTGGCAATTCTGTTTGAGCAATAACACAACAATAAGGAAATAGGTATTCCAAGGTTGGAATACAATGTAATCAGGATCCTGCTCCCAATGTTTGTCTGATTAATCTCGGGCATTTCCAAAGATCTATTTGAATTTCATTATGATGTAGTCTTTCATGATTGCATGAAATACAAACAATAACCAATAACAATCTTGGGGGGACCTTTTTTTTTATAAGTGAGAAGAAAAATCTGACACCATTGAACTGCATACAGCCTACAGTTGGAGGTAAGTAATGAAATGAATTACCTCAAGGCAACACGATACTTCTGACCAAGTTTCTCAAGTTCAGCCATCACACAATCGGTAATACATGGCGTGCCTTCAGAAGGAACAAAACACCAAGAAAAGAAATTTATAAGAATACATGAATACTCTTTTTGATATAACATAGTACTCCATCTATCCTGAAATAAATGCAAATTTTAAAGAGCACAGAGTTCAAATGTTCAACTATTAATCAGAATATACCTCACTAATGAAATCTTGTGAACCAAAACCAGTACTATCACTATCAATATTTTGTAATAATTAGCAATGGCCATGAGCAATCTTGAATATTGAAGTAAAAAATTATGTTAAGAAAATTACGAGTAATAGGACATATACACACATGGCGTGTGAAACTACGGCATGCTACCTTCGTTCTTATTCGGGACAAAACAAAAAAGAAATTGATGCATCTATTTGGATGGATGGAGTATCATTTTTCTTTCATAAGGTAAACTGTGGCAACTCTAGAGATATACGAGTAAGACAGTACATAATCTTCCTCTCTTCCGACTCCCATGAATGAACAAGATTGGCACTAGTTTCCAGGAGAAAGAGGCTACTTGTATCTAGGTAGAAGAAGGCAGAGATCTCTTTTCTTTTTAAGTATATATATATGCTATGACATCCTTAAGCTACCGAACATTATTCTATATAACCAGGCTTGCTTAGCTGCAAAGCTAGTTTCGCGTAGTTAGCACCAATCGCATGCAAGCACCCAGGATATTTTAACTTCTTATGTACATCTAGCCAATGCAATATAATTGACGATAGCATTGGGACCAGTACGGATTAATATATTAATAAGCTCATCTGCATTCTACCATGATGTTTTAACATAAAAGCGCAGAATCAGAACTTACATTTTGCATATAAGCAGTCCATCATTCCCTTCTCCAAGTCCAACTACATCAAAAGTTTAGAACATTTTAGTCTAACTTCCAATGGGATAAAGACAAGAGGTCAAAAAAAAATCTAAATGTTGATCTGCCCACTATGAATATCTAACAAACACAATTAGTATAAGCTGGCAAATGCAAAGATCCATTAATGGTGCCCCCATTGTCATGGGCTCTTAGCTCATTGCACCTATAATAGAATACCAATCATTCACATCCACACATGCATATGTGTTGCTTCCAAAGTAAGCTAGAGCTCTAATCCTTAACTAGAGTGCCAAAACCATAAATTCACTGAAATGGTCCTCTTTTTGCCACTATGAAGCTATTTTTATAAGCAGCAGCAACAGAAAAGCTTTGATCACAAATTCAAAACCACTTGCTAATCCCACACATAAAGATTATGCATTTGAAAAGTATCTTTCTTTCAGAACAACTGCTGGCACTCCCTTGAAAATCCCAAATAACATATTAAGCAAAACTCACTTTATTTTGGATGGAGAAATTGATGAAGTTGGTATCCACCAAAACTCGATAAGGCGGTCCCAGAGCCGTATTGTAAGTGAAGAACAGAGCAGAAGAAACATAGGGTCTGCCAAATCATAAATCAAATGATTCAAATAACTATATAAAGACAAAAACAAGTTAGGGCGCCATCGAATTACAAACATACACATTTCTAGGGAGCTTCTCCTTCGTTAAATCCTTTTTATTAGGGTTCAAAACCTCTTCTTTATGTCTGAAAAAAACAGGTGAATCAGATTATTAACACAATGTCGACAGTAAGGAAAAATCAAGAGAGGGTAAGAGAATGATTACTGTTTGATTGCTTTATGAGACGCAAGTTTCTTCATGACTGCGAATTTGGGACCCTTCTTCGCTCTCCCCATCTCTTTCTGTCTGAACCCGGTTGAAGAATGTTGGAAGAGGATACTTGAAAACCCTAAAACCCTGATATAAGAGAAAACAGGTTCTTCACGGTGCCGCTATTGGTTCGTAAAAAGACGATTATACCCTTGGGGTATGTTTTCGCCCTTATATACAAATTCAATTTTTATCTATTTAATGTAATATATTATTTTTAGAGTTTTTACATGCTTTGCTAGTTGCCATATGTTGTTCGCATTTTTTTTTTACCTGAATATCTAACTCGCTATGCGAGTCGACTAATCCTAGAACGACTATCTGCTTTGTTTTGCAGGTAGTCCGGAATCACTGCATTTGAACATCCGTGACCACAAAGGAATTTTTGTTTTTTTTTGGATTTGAACCTGGACCTCCAAACATTTTTGACCTTTAGAGCAAAGATCAAACAAATCAGGCACCACCCTTATGGTTGTTGTTCGCATTTTTAGTTGTTAAAGGCAACCAAAAAATTAAGGGTTTGTTTAATTCAGGAAATGAAAATAAAATGTACAAATATGAATGAATTTTTATTCTGTAATGAAATTCTAGACGAATTATATTATATAATTTAGAGTAAATTATTGATTTGGTCCCTAATACATGTTATTTTTTAGGGATTTGATCATTTATTACAAAATAACCTTCCATGTAAGCATTTCTTTTACGGATTTGGTCTTTCACACTAACGGCCGTCTATTTTATTCGTTAAACTCAAGGGTATTTCGGTTCTTCACTATTTTTTCTCCATTTAAACATTTTCTAATTAAATTTCTTCATCTAATTAAGAATAATTTTCATCTTCTTCATTTTTTTGTGAATCTTCATCTCCTTTTACCATTTTATATAGAATTATTCAAAGTGTTTGTGATGTAAACCCTGAAATCTAAATCAAAACCATAAAACATGAATCAAACCATTTAATCAAAACAAAAAAAAAACGTAAATAACATTATAATATTAATTGACGCTCGTACATTTTATAAAAATGTGCAATACACTACACATTTTCTTGAACGATAAATATTTTACCAAATTATCTAAATTAAATAGTTTGCAACCTAAATAATGTTTTATGGTCAAAACATTTCTTCTAAAATTTGTAAGTGAATAATTGTGGCAGCATGTCACACACATATAAATAACAGTCGTGTCATAACTTTAAAATTCAACATAATTAAATACTCGAAATAATGTTTAGAATAACAAATTTTCAAGTTTAGGGGTATTTCGGTAATCTTGAGAAGTTGAATACCAAAGGTATAGCTTTAACCAATTCCCTAATTTAGGACATTTTTGATATATTTCATAAGTCAAATCTTAAAACATTGTTTAAAAGTCCAATCCCAAAGTGTAGGGCATTTTGGTAATTTTGTAAAACAAATACTCAAAGTATTGCTAAAATATTGATTCCCTAATTGTGAGGTCATTTTGTTAATTCCATAAGGATAATAAAAAATAAAATAAAGCTTAGATACCAATTTCCAAAACATACGGTCATTTTGGCAATTTTATAAAGCAAACACGTTAGATGTTGCTTAAATACCAATTAATAAATTATAGGGTCATTTTGGGAATTTCATAAAGTGGATAATAAAAATAAAACTTAGATATCAATTCCTAATGTATATGGTCATTTCTGTAATTTTACAAAAATAATAATAAAAACCAGGTCAAAAATTAAATTTCATAACTCATAAGTCTAAGGAAACTTTCTGAAATATGTTACCGAAATTATATTTTCAGAACTTTAGGGGATATAATGAATATCAATGAAAATTATAGATAATTAATAATGAATTAAATAATTTTTGCAGCATTAATTTAACTGAAATAACTTGTTTACTTGATGGTTAGAGCATTTGGATTTTTAAAGTTGAGCTCAAGGTTTCGAATTCAGTCTTAAGCAAAAAATCATTTTTTTATAAGACGGGTCAATAGGCGGGTTTTGGGCCGGATCTTGGCCTGATCGATCCGCTCCGTAACCCAAACGATGACTGCTCGTTTTTATGTTTTTTAAGTTTGAAAATGACTCGTTTCTTGACCTTTTTTTTCATTCTTTCTGCACCAAACTCTTGATAATATTTGTACCAACACTTTGACATAAAGAACACAAATTTTCATATAAGAGAAATTTTATTTTCTGATTTAAAGTTTTATTTTTAAAACTAAAATTCAACAACTTGAAAACATAAACTAGAACCATCTAAAAGCAAATCTGAGATATGAGACTACTGGGGTTTGATAAAGTACTTACAATCAAAGTTATAGACATACAAATCAAGAGATTTGGTTAAAAATCTCACCCAAAAACCGAGATTGTTGATTATGAACTTCAAACTAAAATTTTTCTCGAAAAACTCAATGATTTTACTAGTTATTTGAATGAAAACGATCATAAGCCGATGTCCTATAGTTATATGCAAGAGTTTTGGCTTATTAATTGACGAAATTGGGCCGAATCGTGAGTTTTAAGCCGTGAGGTCGTTTTCTTCAAACAAACATGTACGATTGGGAAAACAAGTCTTCATACTTTGAAAATGATGACATTCGGCCCCCTACATTTTATAATATTTACGTCTGACCCCCGTACTCTCACTACTTTGACTCACTTTACACATTTTACCCCTAAATTCAACATTCTCCTTCAAAATTGGACCTTTCTTTTGATTATCTCCTATTTCAAGGTTCCTAAATTATTTCATTTAATCAACTACATATATATTAATTGTTCCAAACAACTAATTTATTTACTCAATATTTTAGGTCACCATTTTTTTATATTAAATACTCCCATAAATTATTTGTTTATTTTATATTTAATTTTTTTGAGTTTTACAATAAAGAACCAAATCCGTAAAAATTAACATATCATAAGGACCGAATCCGTAATTTACGCTATTTATTTATAAGCGAACTCCTAGTCTTATATATGCATTTTTATGTTTTAGGTCCCCTTTCTAATTGTGTTAACTTTTTTTTTTTAAGATGAGGGATGTTAAGTTTTATGTTGTATATTATGATATACATATAATACATTTCATCCAGGCGAAAAATAGAGTAATAAGGGAAGTTACGGTGAAAAGTGTAAGAAGAAATCTGAACATTTGATCACTTTTAATCTCATATCCACCCAAGAATTGAGATTTAGAAGGGAATTGATTTGGTATATTTCGGTGCATCTCATTAGTGTTTAACATTCAATTAGGATTGATCCAGTGGTGGATATTCTTGTTACGCTTATCACCATAATTTCTTTTCTCATCGGAACCCTACCCTTACATCTATATGCATCTTAATGAACCCCACCCCCCCCCCCAAAAAAAAACTTTGGTAATTCTTTACTTCTTCGTGTATAGAGCCACACAGAGCGACTGCTCTGCTACTAGTAACAACGAAGGGAGAGGGGCGAGCGGGGGACTGTACCTCGTTTCGACCGCACAGCCGGTGACAATGACGGGGCTGGGCTGAAGGTGTTAACGACGGCGACAGAGGGAGAGGGTAGCGACGAAGGGGAGAGTGTAGCGACGAGGGGGAGGGGCGACCATGGGACTGGAGTGAGGATTAACACGTTAGTTTTAGTTTTTTTTAATTTACTTGATGTCTAGGTTGTAGGTTAAATTTTTTAATGATAAAGATGAATCTAACAGATTTTAGAAAGTCCAATGAGTTATTTAACATGTTTTTGAATATTTAAGAACTTATTCGTTCCAAAAAATTGTCCAAAAACTTAACCATTTCAAACATTAAAGTCTGTTGGTTTTTTTTTACTTTTCTTCTTGAGGAAACTTATAAATCAATTTTAATTAATGGTTATTAAGCCAACAATTAAAGGATAAAACGTAGGCATCGGCAAAGAGGCGAAGGGGCATTTTAGTAATTTGGAGTTATGGGTATAAACGTCTTCTGCAACTGCAAACTAACATCAACCTCCCGTGACGACGAGAAAAAAGAAAAAAACGGAATCACTCGTCTCTCTCATCTCCCTCTGAAAATCGATCATTTCAATTCTTGATCAGTTTCAATTATCTTGAATTCATTCGAGCACCTCCTCCATTGATCTTGATTTCACCTTCAAATCAGTGTAATCAACATCCGATTACATCCAAACTAGTGCTTGTGTTCTTGCGTTTTTGTGTCAGAGGGAGAGATTCACATCCAGATGGCGCAGACGAGGATTCTAGAGATCAACTTGATCTCAGCGCAAGGTCTGAAAATTCCCCCTTCTGCTAAGATGCGCCGTATGCACACCTACGCAATCGCATGGGTGCATCCCACAGCCAAGCTTCGCAGCCACCTCGATCGCGTCGGAGGAGAAAACCCTACCTGGAACGAAAAATTCATCTTCCGTGTCTCACCGGATTTCATTTATGGCGATACTTCCGCTGTTCAATTCGAAATCTACGCCTGTGGATACATCAGAGACTACCTCATTGGCAACGTTCGTTATCTCTTAAGCAGCAGTACTCTCACTTCCTCCAAAACCGGCGCAGTAATCGGAACTCCGGCTTTCTCCGCCGTCCATATCCGGCGTCCGTCGGGGAGAGTCCACGGAGTGCTCAACATCGCTGCTACTGTTTACGAGAGCTCAGCTTTCGCAGCTTTTACCGGAAAATCCGCTGTATGTTTTCGTGATCTGATAGGAGAAAACGACAATGATGATAAACGCCGCCGTGAACGGCGACTCTCATGGAATCTCAGCCGTGACGGATCGAGGAGGAGCGAACAGTCTTCCGGCGCTGAGTCTTGCGATTTTCCGATAAGAGAATCTACTGATTTCTCCGACGGAAACGACTCCACGACGTCGTCTTCGTCGTCATCCCGGACAACGGCAGCGTTCAAGGACTTGAACGGCGTTAGATCATCCGTTAAAGTGGCGGGAAAGAAAGAATTGAAATCGGACGGTGGAGGTATGTTGTGTGGTTTGATGTTGCAAAGGCGGTTTAGTTTCTGTCCATCGGATCAGAATCTTTTGACATTGGCTGGATTCCACGGAAGGAAGATCTAGATGGTATTTGAACGGCTGAGATCTCATTTTGATGGTCAGGTAATTGTTTGTTACAAGAGACCAATTTACCATTTTGACCTTTTAAGGGAATCCAAAATGCTTATGTTATATGTGAGAGACCTACAAATTCTTTTTGTTTCTTCAAACCAATTGAATTATGAAAATAAGGTTTGGTTTCATGTTTCTGTAAATAGAATTTTGGGTTTTGATTTTTAAAAGAATTATAATAAAATTTCTTAAAATTTCTCTAACAGCACAAGTAAAAATGGAGTTTTGTTGGTCGAATCACTCAAATGGCCTGGTATAAAGACTTGCAAAATATTGTCCGTCACTGTTAGGGTGACCGTCATAATTAGCGTTCAACTGTTCATCAATGATAAAAAAAAATGTAATGTGGGATGTATTTGGAGTAGATTTGGGTTTTAGTGTATATAGGATCACATTTAAGTGTTTTTTTTCAAAGGTGTGATAGTCCAAGGAGTCGTTTACCAAAAAATTTACCGGTCGTCACTTGCTTTGTCGGGTGAACAAGACAATAACCGAAAATCTTATTACCCAGTAATAGGCATAACAATGACCTAGAATTTTACTTGGTAAGTGAGGGAGAAAACATTTACCTGTTAATCGCTTACAGAGTAAAAAACACTTACATACAATCAATTTTGATGGTCGAGAATGTTACCTAATAGGTAAAAGTTAGAGTGGTGACTCATGTTGAGCATATTACTTGATAAGAGCATCTCCAAATGATTCTAAAAAATGAAGAAGTAATAAAGTTAATATAACTCGTAAAATATTATTTTGGAGATTTTTTATTTTAGATCTTACACAATTAATTATATTATTAAAATACTAGAAGCGTACTCGTGCAATGCAGCGAGATAAATC